ACAGGATGCATCCGAAGAAGTGGGCTGTAGTCCACGAAAGCTTATGCTCTAATAAATTTGTTAGTCTCTAAGGTGCCACAAGTACTCCTGTTCTTTTTGTCAATATTTTGTATCCCAAACTGCATGTCTAAAGCACAAATACATCAGAGCCCTCAGAAACTCACCTGTCATCTTCTGTCAGGAGAATTCTTTGCATTTATCCTTCCCCACCCTAGGAACATGGGAAATACCAATATTGGAGCTGGCTTAAAATGATGTTGCATAAAAATAACTTTTAAAATTAATTTTCAGAATTTGTCTTTAAAAAAGTGGGAATTTTCCCAATGTTTAAGTGAAAAAATCAAAATCAAAGCTGAACATTTTCAGGTTTTAGTTTTCATTTGTTCCCCTTTATCTCTGTTTTCTCCCTTGCCACTACTACACTTTTCCTTTTTTGCCACTGAAAAAAAGAGGCAGAAAGGAAGAAAAAGAAAAGAAAAACGAAAATAAAAAAATTATTTTTACAGTTTCAAAAACCCAAAAAATGAGCTTTAAACTTTGTGTCAAAAAATCAGACAATTTTGAAATATCTAATTTTTTCATTAATTTTCCAATTTTTATTTTAAAAAGTTTAGAATGAAAAATGTTGAGGCGCTCTAATTAATATTCATACCAATGGCACTTTGCGCCAGATTCATCTGTGATGTAACTCCATTAATGGGTTCCTTACTTCTGTAGCAATCTAACACAGCCAGTCTTTTGGGTGTGCTGAAACTCAACCAAATGCTGGAAATCGTGAGTTCACCTGGCACAAACGATGGTGATTTCACAAGCATTTCTCCCTGGCAGTAGCTCACAAACAGTGACCAATGGAGCCATTGCTGGTGGTTCCCGAGCTGACTAGTCACAACGTGTTGGCTCTGCCTTTTTTCCATATTAAAATGTTAAATACTTTCCTGATATTATTTTTGCTTATAAGCAATTGCTGTGGGTGCCATAGGGGAGTTACCAGCTCACAAATGAAACAGGTGTCCACCTGTTTAGGAATGGGGGAGGGATCCACGTGATCAGGAATAGGAAGGGAAATTTCTGCCTGGCTTGTGAATGGCAAGGGAGATGTCCGTGAGAAAATCTCGCTGTTCAATTGATCCACCACCACACTATGAAACAAACACCCGGAGAGGAAGATACCTGCGCTCATAGTCATTGGTGAGGGAATAGAAGAGGAGAAAGGCTTCTGCCTGCAATTATTGTTTTCACCAAATTCACAGCCCTGACATCCACATCAAACTAGGAGGCAGCTGTATTTACTCAAACTCTGCTCAGTGTTATAAGGCTCTAGTGTCTGAGGTTGAGCTGTGCGTAAGTGTTGCCCCCAAAGAACACAGTGAAGATAGTTTTACAGGCCAGAGCATCAGAAAATCACCACGCGGTGGGGGATCTGTGACACTTGAAATGTATTGGGCCACCTCAGGCGGCATGTGTGAAAGTGACTTGCTCTCCCGATGCCTAAGATCAATGCTTTCGTCACACACTGGAAAAACTGGGGCCGGCACCTGCTGGATTTCCCGGCGCTGGGAGGCTAAAATCTGTGAAAGTGATTGATAATCGACACCAATTTCCCCCCTCTCGTTTAAGACAAGGCTGGGCTTCCCGGCGGTTTGCATGTCAAGCCCACTAGGCATCAAATCATGACAAATATTTGCCCTGCTACTCCTGACACGAGGATCCCGCCGCATGCATCACCTGGCTGCGCCGCACAGAAGTCATTCCCCGAGCAGCGATAAGCGAACTGCGCTGCGCGGCCTGTAACTTGCACAGGAATGATCCACTCCACGTTTGCAATGACCAAAGCTAGTGAGTGTGGTCTCCCGAGGCGCCAGCTCCTGCTGGGTGGGGATGGGTAGCACAGGTGGATTATGGAGAGAGGGTTACGAGCGACTTGCTTTAACTGCCAGCAAACAAGGCGAATGGTGTAACCCGCAAGTCCTTTCTCACGCCTAGAGGAAGGGAAGTTGAGGCTGCTGCTGCACTGGCTTGGCTACATGGAGGATTTCAGAGCCCTCGAGTTGCTCGGAGGAATTATTTTGTCACCATTAAAATGAATGAACCCCCCTTCCAGACAGGGCCAGCGCGCGCGCTTTCCTCGCTCCTTGCGCTTCGCTGCGCGGCACTGCGCAGAGTTTGCACCAAGTTTCCCCGGCAAGAGGGTTTGCTGTTGTGCCCGCTCGGAAGCTCTTCTGGCACTTTCCCCCTGTAACTTCTGCGATTACTTTCGGCCAGCGGCGCCTCGCAGCTGACTGAAAATACCCCGCAGGCTCCCACATGCGCCCCTGCAGCGGGAAGCTCCGCGGGGCCAAGGCTCTGGAATGCGTGTTGGGAATGGCGGAGTGAGCTGGACCATGCCTGGCGGGGAAATTCCCCACCCGGGGTTTACATACCGCCTGCCGCAGAACAAGCACTTGTGGCCGGGCGCCCGGCCTGCCATGCGCACGGCTTAGCGCCACCACAGTGCTCACCGCGACCCGGTTTAATTCTGCGCGCCCGCCCGGGTTACGCAACGAATTAGGCTCCCTCCTGACAGCTGGCAAAGGGTGGAGAACTGGGGGGGGGGGTTAATACGGGAGTTTCTAACCACCCCTTCTCCCGTTCCTGCTACCATTCCCCAAACCCGTATTTAAAAGGGTGGGTTACAAACGGCTGATTTCCCCTGATCCCCCCAGACACAGTCCCACCAAGCTGCCGGCGGCTGGAGAGCAGGTTTCAGTCTCCCTCCTTTGGCTGCGCCTCGGGTTCCGCCTAGGTGAAGGAATGTCATTTCGCTACTAAATGGTTAGTCTAATTTGATCTTTATTATGCTGTGGATTAGGGCTGATTCCTATTAAACACAAGTGCAGTTAATATAACTGCGGGACGTGTCCCACTGTACGTACAGCAGCCTCTGTTCCAGCCCCACCGCTTCCTGCAACCAGCGGATTAAGATTTAATTAACAGGGAAGTTTGCTAGCGCTCGCTTCCAGCCTCTCTCGGCCTCACAAATAATTTATACTCTGCTCCGCGAATTTTTATTCAGGAGCAAGTATTTAATTTCATTCTAAAGGGGAGCTGAATATCTCACGCCTTGCCCCAGGCTTCCCGAGAGGAACCTGTGTGCAGCAGCTTCACACTCAACTGTTGAGAGATTATTTTTTTGTCCAGGCCGGGAATTACTTCAATGGGGACAATGTATCAGCTTTTTTTTTTTAAGTTAACAGCCTAAACTATCCCTATGAAAGTTAATCATCATGATCCCCATTGTGGGCTGTATAAACCCAGGCTCAAGCAAACCTCCAAGAAACAGCAACAATTCTGATAAATTGTCCGGCTCGGCTAACTACACGAGAATGGCTTTTATAATTAAAAAGGGAGCTGAGTTAAACCAACAGCTCCTAAGCCCCTCTCAACAAGGCTAGAAAGGGAGAAATGTGGCAACCTGATTTCTTTAAATAGCAGCTCTTTGTAGCCCATTCATAATCCCAGATATGGAAACTCATCCTCGGCAAAGTCAGCTGCCAAAAAAAAAAAAAAGTTTATTCAGATGCTCAAAGTCCATCTTTTTTTCCAGTCTACAATAACCCTGGCACTTTATAACCAAACAGACAACTCCTTTTCCAATTAAAGTGGAATTAGGAAACTCAATCAAATTAGCTCACTATTAAAGCCCTTCTTTATTAAACCGTTTTATTGTAGTAATATTAAGTTTCACTCACTCTTGGAACACGAGACTTTTAAAAGTTTCCCTTGTGATATTGATTTGGCTGCTCTCAGGTTGGAGCGGGGTCAAAAGTATTTACCTAGGTGTAATCTGTAATATTTACTCCCCAAAAGAACAATCTTAAAATTGTAGCCAACTTGATCAATTGCGAAAGGCAATGAAGAATCGCTCGTTACTCACTCTGGTTCTTTGATTTTACCCCTGGGCTTCTTTCAATAACCATGAAGACACACATTTCGTCTCATACACACCAATATATTAACTGGTTTATAGGAACAGCACTGTCAGTTTCAAGCCAATGTTTACACAGTTATATTTGAAGTGAGAAAGTAAACAGTCCAGCTGTGCCACAGAACAGTTTGGTGGGATTAGGTTTCCATACCAACCAACTTTAGGAGCTTTTACAGTCTTAATTCAACCATGCACTGAACTTGTTCTTTGTGAGTAATAGTTTTCCTGGGCCAAACGCTCCCAGGACAGATAAGAAAATTCCCTCCGCCCTCCCCAATCACTTTTTTTTTTGGAGGGTGGGGGCATTGTACGAAGCTATTGCTGACGCTCTTTCTTATATTCGGTGAAAGAAGAAAAATAGCATATTTCTTCTATTTGCCTTGAAGAATAATCGGACGCTATGTTGTCAATGCGATTGATAATAGTGCCGTTCGTGTACCCTTCCTCCTGAAATGAATGGGCGTTTTAGGACATCAGGATCGGTCCCAATATAAAATTAATTTGATTTAAAAAAAACCCACAAGCTGATTTTGTTTTGCCCGATTTGATTCCGTAAGAGAATTTTGCTATTTAAACACCCTGTCTTTAATCTGATTTATTATTTGCCCGTTTCTTATCTTGATCATATAGAAGCAATTGAAATCCGCAGTGCAATCGTCAAATGAAAAGAAATGGTTCCCCTTTCATCGCTGCAGTCGCAGGATGATCCAGCATCTATATGCAACAACGAACACAAGTATTTTAACAATACACTTTGCCTTTCCCTGGGATAATGTCAGATTGTCTAAATACGGGGAAGAAATCAGCAAGCCCCAAACTAGAAAATCCCCTAAAAAATGCACTTGAGATATTTTTTCTAAACGAATAAAAAATGAAGAATTAAAAATTAAATTATTTGACAGTTTGATGGAAAAGTACATCTCTGTATGCTGCGGGTTGTTTGTTTTTGTTTGTTTGTTTTGGGTGTGTGTGTGTGGTGGGGGGGGGGTTAAATGTATAGATTCTCATCAGATTGTCTGCTTCAACCATGATATAAGATTTAATAAACATGTTCAGAAAGTTCCTAAATTTTTTTTTGCATTAATCTGCCTTAAACATTGACTTTACTTGTTAACTGGGTTTGCCAAAACATTGTTCCATAAAATATCATTTGCCATTTGTAAGACTGATTTGAATAGAAAATAACATTTATTTCTAGTATTTCTATGAAATGGAAACACAGAAAGGAATTGTTAGAAACGGCAAGAAGTTTGCTACATTGGAACCAGAAAGCAATTTTCTTGCAGATCACAAATGAAGAGGCTCATTAAACCGTTATACAGCATTGGCGGCTGGGTCCTACGGACAGTTACAAATATATCTACTTTCCAATGTTATATACAGATTATAACATTTCTTGGAAGGGGTGGGCGGGAAGGCTTTTCAATTTTACAATATATTTAATCTATATACCTGGTAAATATTACAATGAGAGCTGTCTAACCTTTAGCTTTAATACCAAGTTCACCTACAAGTTACATTAATAACTTAGATTTCCATTTTATAACATTATACACTTGCTAGTATACATACATACATATATATATATATGTATGTGTGTGTGTGTATATATATATATATACACCTCACAATTCACCAAGGATATCCATGCTTATGGCCATAAGCAACAAAGAGAGTGACAAACATCTCAACAATGAAAGTGCACCTTTATAACCTTTTTTTTTAATACACCTAGTATTTGTCAGCTTTGCCCGACACTCTGTTCCGTGCAGCAGGGGGTCTGCGCCCTGCCCTACAATGGAATAGGCTGGAAGGGGAAGGGGAGCGAATCATTCGGTGTCCATATAGTCCCCTCTCTTTCTCTCGCTCTATATTTATAAATTCAGAGAGTCCCTTAGGGTGCAGCCCTAGGCTGCAAGGCGTGAGCTGTGATTTGGCAGCTGTCAAGAGAGAGACGCAAGGAGGGAGCGTGTCCTTGGCAGCAGCGCGGTGCCCGCGGCCGGCCGGGCGCTGCTCCCCAGCAAGGGGCTCCGTCTATTGCTTCTCGGGGGTGTTGTTGACCATGGGCCCGTAGAGGCCGCTGGAGTAGACCTGCTCCTTGTGCACGGCGGAGCGGTCCCGCATGAGGTCGCTGAAGGCGTAGTCCATGGGCGGCCGGAAGCCCAGCGTGGGCATGAGGCCGGCGGTGGAGTAGGGGGTCATGAAGGCCAGTCCCCGGCTGTGCGCCGAGTAGGCCAGGCGCAGGGGGTTGAGGCCCAGGTGGGTGCCCAGCGGGTAGGCGCTGGCCTCGGCGCCGAAGTGGCTGGCGTTGGGCTGCAGGGGCGAGAAGGCGGAGCGGCTGCCCAGCGTGCCGATGGCCGGGCTCATAGTGCCGGCGATCAAGGGCCGGTGGTGGGCGGCGACGGCGGCCGCGGCGGCCGGGCTGGACTGCAGGGCGCCGTCCCGGGCCCAGCTCTCCTCGGGCCCCTTGTCCGGGCCGCGGTTGTTGAGGATCTGCTCGATGGCCTGCACCACGTCCCCGCCGCAGCCCTGCAGCACCAGCTCCAGCACGCTGCGCCGGTGCGCCGGGAAGACCCGCGTCAGGATGTCGATGGGAGTCCGCTGGCGGCCGCCGGCCGAGGGCGACGGGTCCTGCTCGTCCTTCTCGGCCTCCGAGCCCGAGTCGGAGCCCAGCGGGCTGATGGAGCCCGGGCTCTCCTCCCCCTCCTTCGGCCCCTTGGAGACGGGCGAGCTCAGGAAGGACTCGCCGTCCCCGTTCTCCGAGCCCGAGCCGTGGCGAGCTTCTGGGGAGGAGGTGCCCGGCACCGACTCCCCGTCCGGAGACAGGGGCTTCCCGCCCGCCTGCTGCGGGGTCACAGCCCGGCTGGGCAGCAGCGTCTTGGGGAACAGGTCGAACTTCTGCAGCTTGGAGTCTGCAAGGAAAAGCAAGGAGCCCAATGAGTGCAGCGGCCGGAGCCTGGCCCGCAGCCCCACAGAGCAGCGCCTGGCCCCGCCGCCCCACAGAGCAGCGGCCCGCGGGGAGCCTCTTGGGCCTAGGGAGAAGAGGGCTGGACCAAATGCAGATACAGCTCGGGCATTAGAGACAAGAGGGTCCTAGCAGCTCGAGGTTGGGTCCCCAGGCCCCTTCCCACCCATCCTCAGCCCTTGGATTTCTGCCACTGGAGATAGTTGGAGGCACTTAGTATTTATTCATTTGTTGACAGTTTTGCGTCTCAGGACACAGAGAGTGGGGACGAATCCCTGCCCTGTAGGGCTGCGGCCTGGACTCTGGCTTGGATTCAGTCCCTCCCCAGAAGGCAACTTTCCTTCCAGCCCCCAAGCCTGAAGCAAGGAGATGCCCTCTCTGGCTGTGGACCCAAGATTGAAATCAATCACTCAATCGCCTACTGTGGGTTTTCCATCAGCTGCCCCTCCCCCCATCCCTATAAACCAGAGAGGGTGACATGATTAGGCCAGGAAGGATGGATGGATGGATGGATAAATAGATAGGTATAGGCATGGATGGATAGAGGGGGTGTATGGAGATAGACAGACAGGGCCTATGGGGAGGGATAGATTGATATAGGGATAGTTGGTTGGTTGGTTGGTTGGATGGATGGATGTGTATGGGGAGGAAGGGATGGATAGATGGATGGATGGATAGAGGGGGTGTATGGGGATAGACAGATGGGGTGGCTGGGGATGGATAGAGGGGGTGTATGGGGATAGACAGATGGGGTGGCTGGGGATGGATAGTTGGGGTGTATAGAGAGAGAGGGAGCGATAGATAGTACAGTATAGGGACAGACAGATGGGATGTATCTAGATGGATAGACAGGTGGGGTATATGGGGATGGGGTGTATGAAGATAGATTAGATGCTGTTTATGGGGATGGATGATGGATACATAGAGGGGGTGTATGGGGAGGGATAAATGGGTGGATGACAGCGTGTATGGGGATAGACATATGCGGTGTAGGGGGGATGGATAGGGTGTACGGGGGTAGGTAGATAGTCCCTGTAGCAGTCCCTGCTTAGCTGTCCTGGAGGGGGTCGCTCCCTTACCCGAGCCCCCAGCGCCTCCCTCGCCGCTGGCCCCGCTGCAGACGGAGCCGAAGACCTCGTAGGCTGGCCGGGGCGGGATGATGCCGTTGGCCGCGGCCAGGGCCAGCCCCTCGGCTGTGCCGTAGAGCAGCTGGAGCTCGCGGGCCTCGTTCTCTTCCTGCGCCTGCTGGCGGCGCAGCGCCACCTGCGCGGCCATGACGCGCTGGCGCTCGGCGATCAGGGTGCACTTGGCGCACATGCAGTCCTTCCAGCGGCAGTAGCGCTTGTGGCCCTTCAGCGCCGACACCACCCCGTGGTTCCGGCACCGGGCGCACTTGGGCGTGCGCGGGTACTTCTCGGCCGCCCGCAGCAGCAGCGGGGGGCCCCGCAGGAGACTGCCGGCCACGCTCACCGGCAAACTCGCGGCCGCGGCTGCCGCGGCGGCCGCCACCGAGCTGGGGGGCACCGGAGGGGGCGCAGAGGGGACGCTGGGCATTTCCGATCTCAGCTCCATCCTGGCCACGGGCTGCCCCAAACGGCAGGGGAAGAACCCAGAAACAAGCAGAGCGGCCACAAAGCAGTGGCCCCTCAGAGGGAATCCCTTCAATACCCACCGAGACCTGGGCGCTATAAACCCCCGGATCGCTCCAATAAACCCCCAGAAGCGGGCACTATAAACACCCGGATCCTTGTAATACCCGCCTAGACGCCGGCACGATAAACACCCGGATCTCTAGTAAAAGCGGGTATCTAAGTCCTCCTCGCGCCCCAGCCTTGTCGGGGGTGAAATGCCGTTCAAACACACACACACACTCTTTCTCCCGTCCAGTCCCTCAAGAGCAAACTGCGGTCCTTGGAGAAACCGGCTTCTCGCTGCGGAGAGGGAGTTAAAACCCCTTGGCTCCGTTATTGTCCGGGCACCCCTGGCAGGGCGCTGCCAAGCCCATGTCAGAGCGCGCAAGACCCCGGGCTAGAGAGAGTTCCCTGCTCACACTTGTCCTTTTTCCTGCCGCCAGCTCAAACTCCAGTCCCTTGAATTTAGTTTCTTTTCTTTCTTTCTTTTTTTAATGTTTCACCAATCACCGGTTTCCCCCTGCAGTGATCCGCGGACCCCTTTAAAAACAGCAACCACCATTCCCAGCCTGACCCGAGTCAGGCAGACCAATGCCTCCTGCCCTTTACCAACAACGCCAACGGGGTCAGGAACCAAGAGAAACAAACCCGGTAACGAACTGACAGTCCTCTGCAAAACCAACCCAACCCAACCAAAAACCCCAACCACCACCACCCAAGTTAGCTCTGCCCCTTGAACATGACTTCCCCCCTCCCTCCGCGACCGCGCAGGACAACAGCACAACTCACCCAGCAGAGCCGCCTAAATCAAATACACCGCAGAAAACACAACCCGCCAATCCCCCGCGCCCCAGCGCTCCCAGGACTCAAGCAGTTGCAACTTCAAACTTCCCCTGGCACGCAGCAAAAGAGCCTCACCCTCCCTCTCTAATCATCTCCCCTCCGGCCCCCCGGGGAAAGCCAGCCGCGCAGACCTCCAGCGCCAAGCCCCAGTCTGGTCCCCCCGCGCTCAGCTCAAGTTCGCATGTGTGACACTTGCAGGGCGAGAGTTGCCAGGAGAAAAGGATCTTCGCCGAGGCGCCCGCGATCACTTGCTCTATTGTTGCGCCTTACGTTTCCATTAGACAACAATTGACAACAATGTGGCGCCTGCTATTGGCCAGGGGAGGAACGAGCCCTTTTGATTGGCCACTGGCTTGTCTACAGTGTCCGCCCGAAGCTTCTCTCAAATAAACTGGGCTTTAAGGAAACTAGGAGGGTCCTGCTAAGGGAGTTGCATTGAAAAAATAATGACAAATAGTTTCCATTTAAGTGTGTGTGTGTGTGTGTGTGTGTTTGTTTGTGAAATTTGTCTGATTTCTCACTGCCTGGTAGTTTTTAAATCCACTTAAAACAGTAGTTGCCTGACCAATTGTGTGGTTTGCACTTCAGATTTTCCACTGTGTCACTTGTCAAAGGAGGGGTGGGGGCAATATATCATGCAAAGTGACAATTCAATTTAAGGTGCCCCCTTTCTCCCCGGCGATTTTATTGTATAGTAGAACCTAACTTATTTTTGTGTTTGTTTTTACTCATTTTGCAACTGCAGGTGCATTTTACCAGTACAGCTGCAATAGGTGGTATTTGAGAGGTGAGTATGATTTTCGATTTTTATTTAATTTAAAAAAATATGGAGACATGAATCAGGTTCCCCAAAAAGTTCGTTGTTTCTCTCCTGGTTTTAATGACTAGCTATTTGTTTAATAACAAATTCAACAGGCACCTTTTTGAGTTTCCACGGGACGGTTCGAACAGGGTTTATACATCCTTGAGCAACTGGGCTTTCGTGCTGGTAATTGTGTCCAGTTTTTGTTTTAACATTAACCACCCTGGCTCGACGTCATCCCCCTTGGTAATCTGTTTGCGCTGAGAGGAAGAAGCAGGTTTGGGATTTTGGAACTTGTGAAGTTAACGCAACTCTCCTTTTCTGGAAGGAATATTCGGGCTAAAGTTCCCATCTCTGTGTTCCACAGGGAGGATCTTCGATGGTTAATAACCATTATTATTTTGTTAATTTCTTGTGGCTTGTTGTTGCCTTAATTTGTTGCCCCTTGATAACGATAATGAATGAAAATACAAGCAATCGTTTATAGAGAATCGATGAAGAGCTATCGCATTTGACTTTGTTAGAATGGAATGTATCTCCTCTCGAAGCCTCGCTTATACCGCTCAGCTAAAGAAAGGCTGGGCAGTGTTCTGGGGGCGAAGTTAAGCGATTGCAATGACAAGGTTCCTCCGTATGGAGTTAGCATTTTCTATGCTAGGGAAGCAAGTTGTAGCACTGAGGTGCGAGTGCTCTGAATAGATTGGTTGAAACCCTTTGGGGTTCCCAGCGGAGTATGTGAAGAACTAAAATAATTTCGTTCGCTTTCATTTTTTTAACCTCCCCCACCTTCCTTGTAGGGTATTAAAATTCAAACCTGACAATATAAGGGGATATAGAGGGTGATCTTGGGTGTTTTTGCGAGCGCTTAACTGCAGAATAGCAGCGGATAATGCCCTTGCTTTTTTGCTTCCTTTGTAATCGTTCTTCTGTGTGAAGCAGCTCTTTGCTGAAAAATACAAATTGCAAAGCATCGCATCTCGCAGACACATTGATATTTGTCTGATGTTTGCCTCATTCTTCTTACTTTAAAAATAAAGTATAATCTTTCCCTTCGGACTACTGAGACTGGGTGTTGAAAGCTGCCACCCGCTTCTCGTAGCTAGGTGTCATAACACCTTTATTTAATGCAGCCAAGAAGTCAAAATAGCTGCTTTAATTTTATCTGCAACCACTAATTTTATTCTCCAGGGAGAATATATCAGAGCTCCGGGTTTAGTTGGGAATTCGTTTAATTGGATCAGACTGAATGGGAAACTTTTTTTATTGTATTTTATCTAGGCTTATTGCGCAGAACATATTTCCCCTTTTCCTTGCAAAGCTATTTAATTACTTGTTTGGTTTTGTAATTTATCTGCAAATAGCCCCGCGAGGCATTCTGTGATCACTAACAAACACAGAATACAGTTTATGTTTAGTCCTTCTCTCTCTTCCTTTTCAACTTAAATTTAAATTAAAGGGCTCGATCATCCTTTGCATTTTATGATTTTTTTAATGACCTCATGTATTATATAAACAGTTTGGAGATGACTATGGCAAAAATAGCCACTCACAAACCAGTTACTGGGATTTCAATTTTTTTTACAGGAATGTATCAAACTGTCATCCCTCTGGTGAGATTACAAGAACAGGAATAGCCTTTTTAAAATGTATTGGAGATATATATATATATGCGTTTATATATATCTACCTACCTACCTACCTATATGTCGCTCTATGTAGCTTTATTATATATTGTATCATAAGTGTGTGTATATATAGAGACAAAATTATTATACTATATATAAACAATATAATATAGACATATGTACTTACACACATTTTATATATAATTTGTATCCCAATTAAAAATTAAATATTTCCCTTCATACTTCCATCCATTTAGCTTTTGGACTAGCTGCAGTGTCGATCCAACATCTCCATAGTTGCTATTTATTGAAAAATGTTTACTAACAGAGGGTGAAAGAGGCCGTAAGCCGCAGCACGTGGTTGGAAACAATACCAATTGTTAAAAGCAAGCGTGATATATTGCTTGTTTTTACGTAGGTTTCCATCTATTGACGTTTCTCCCCCCCCCCCCCCATTGCAAACGCATGCACATGTACATACTCAGATACACATAGAAACAGGGTGTACATGTGAATATTAATTGTACGTTCTACTGTTTATGACTAAACATAACTCGTTTCAAATTCATCCTAGCAAGAAAGCGCCCTTGTTGGACAGGAAACATTTGTTGCTCTAAAGCCGAATCTCAGCACAGTAATTAAAGGTTAAACCAAACGGCTACTTTCTCTTTTCCCTCGTTCGAGTTTGGTTCCTTGTGGCCATGTGAAGTCCTAGTTGCAACTTTTATTTTTGAAGTGCCTTTAAAGAATTTAAAAGCCAGGAACGCCAGCCTCACTTTGTACTGATTGGAGATTTTAACAATAATCATTTATTTCCGCCGTGCTTTTTCGGGAGATGTCTGTCCTGCAATGTATGCTACCCCCAGCCTGATCCTGGAGCCATGTCAAAGGTTTTATTCAAGCAAAATAAAACTGGCTGTAAATTAGATCAGTCCTGCATACCCTCTAATCAGCGTTAACTCCTCACTTTCACAGTTTGCCACTGAGCTACGTGATGAAGGGTTTTCTATATACTGGCCGTGGGGATGATCTAGCGAGAAGTGTAAAGGGAGGACCGTGATGCGCTGTTTATTTTTCGCAGCGTCTCTTTTGTACTTGACCAAGCACAATAAAATCGCCATCTCAATCTCTGGTCTTGTGTCTTTCGTTGGGGGGGGGGGGGGAAGGGGGGGTTGATTGTTTACGAGCCAGAAGAGTATCAATCTTTCGATCGCTTTTCAGTGGACCCAGGAGTGGGCCGAACCGCGAGGGGGTGGGGGTGGAGAGTGGGGAATCCAGACTTACAAACCTAATAAAATACAACCTTCAAGCCCCAAAGACTGTTTCCACCCCCCTTTAAGCCACGAGGAGGGCTTGTGTTTTTGTTTTACCGGGAGCTGGATTTCCTTTTGTGCCGAGCTGCCTGGACCCCTGGAAGAGCAGGCACAGGGCCTGGTGTATTTCACCTTGGCTAATTTGAAATGCAGACCCCAAGCGTAGGTAAGGGTGTTGTCACCAATAGGCACTGGAGTGAGGGGAGGCGGGGGAGACTTGGCCTATGGATGTTGGTTTTTCCTGATCCCCTATGGCCCTTGGTACACGGTTTGGGCCGAATTGCTGCTCTCGGGACCTTTCAGGGTATAATGGTCTTGCAGCTGCGAAGTTTCGATTCTA